AATGATTTTGAAATATCTTTTGTTAAACATTTAAACATTTAAACATTACTTGAAAAAACTTTCAAGAAAAACTATTTATTAATGTTGAAGGTAATTATTTATTTTTTCGTCTTTCATCAAAATTTCTTGAAAATGAAATTTATGAAAAAGGATTCTTCAGGATTTTAAGGATAAATAAATTGACATAGAATAGCTTGTATTTATATATATTTGTAATTATATTCAAAAAATTGAACTTATAATTTTATTGCTTTAGAATTCATGTGTATTAAACAATTATTAATTTAGCTTTATAATACTGAGATATGTTTAATAAATATTCAAGATAAAAATAATTACATTTAGGATATATTTGAAAAAGTGTATAATGTCGGATTATAAAAATACAATTTTAAATTAATAATTCTGAAAAGATAAAAGCATATTAGATAATATGTGTGAAACTTTACCCTAAATTTTATTTAATTGCTTATTAAAGGGATAATTACGATAAATAATTGGTAAATACGTTCTAATTTTGTATATCCTATTTAATTAATTGACCCAAAAATATTTCAACCTTGGTATTATGGGGTAATAAAATATATATATTCATAATTTAATGCTAAGTCGACATTAATTATTTTTACTATCTATTTATTTAACAGAACTTTAATGAATCAAAATACTCTATGATTTAAATATAATTAATTATTTACTTTGAACTGGAAATTCTAATTTAAACAACATATAAAAAATTTGAATATTCATATTTTGAATAATAGAATTTAAGAAATAAAATTTTTGAAGATATTAAAAAAATTGAATATTTTGATCAATTAAATTACAATGTGTAATCAAAAAATTTCATAAAAAATATTTACATCATTATGATTGTTTTATTCTCTATAGAATTCATTCCTTTTTCTAAATGATATTTTTTAATAAAATAATTAAGATTTTTCTGTTAAATTAATTAGTTATTATTTATCATAATTTCAAATTCATAAAAATTGGGAATTTAACATTAGATTATCGAAAATGCTGAAAATGAGTTATAAATTAAGAAATTATTAATTTAAAAAAATTTGTACTTAAATGAACAATCAGATAAAAGATTATAAACGAGCAAATTAATACAGTAAATGGATACTTATAATTAATTTTCCTTGAAAATAATTCTCGAAGATAAACATTCCTAATATTTTAAAAATAAGATTAAGAATTTTGAGATGAAGTTCATAATTGAGCTAATAAATCACAATATTAATTTAAATATATTCATTTATGTATGTATAGATGATATTATGGAATGATTGATCATTCATTAATATAAAAATGAAGTATTGAATTTTTCTAAGGATAATTAAAAAGTAACCTAAAAATGTTATAAATCAAAATGGGGCCAAAAATAATAACTTAGAATATATTAACATCCAAGAGTTAATGATGAAAGGATGTTTAATAAATAATTATAAAATCTAAATAAATAATAATAAATTAATTATAACGATAGATGAAGAGGTGAAATAATTATATATCCATATAAAATTTGAAATAGAAATTTGTTCTTGTACTTACAAGAAACCAAAAATTAAACATGATTTGATCCAATAGGAAGAATGTAGTTTTATTTAACTTATAAATAGCTATCAATTAAAGATATTTTCATAAGACAGGAGATGAAAAGATTTAATATTTATTATGTGAATGTGATCTTTAAAATAATAAGAAGGTAGGAAATGAGCTACATGGATGATGTAGGCGAATAAATTAAAGTAAAATAAAATTAATATAGTTAACTAAATTATACAAAAATGATGTAAAACATGGTCAGTGTAAAGAATTAATTGTAATTTTATTGGAAGTAAATTTAATTAAATAAGTTCAGTTGTTTAACGAAGTTTAGAATGAGAATGGTTAAAGAATTGGCAATTGGAATAATTTTTGTAGGATAACACAATTTAGTTATATTTGAATAGGTTAGCAATGATGGAAAAATAAAATATTTGAGATAAATCTTAAATAATAGATATAGTGAATATCAAAAAAAAAATGGTTTGTAATTCAGTCGTGAAGTGGTGGATATTTGGAAATATCAAGCAAATGATAATTTAGATTAGCACTAAATAATATTCAAATTACTTGTAAAATTCCTAAGATTAATCATTATATTCTTTTTGAAATTGCTAATTCAAATAACATTGGGAAATGGATTGTATCAATAGATTTTATTGGGAAATTATTCAGGCTTTTTGTCTTACTTAATTAATTAATGTGGCTTTTTCTCAAAATCATTACAATATGTTGTTTGGTTTCAAAAATTAAGAAATAATTTTAAATATAACAAAAATTAATTTAGGGAGATAATCAAAGAATAAGTCTATTCAGATGATTTCACCCTTTAAATATAATACATTTGGTGGATAAATTATTATATTAATAAAAAATTTAGATTTACTATTATATGATTCTTAATGTACATTTAAAAATAAATATAAAAATGATTAAAAATAAGGAAGGCTGAATAGTTATTTGATAAAAATGATGGTTTATTGTTGTATTTAGAAGTAGAAGTAGATTGAGGTTTTAAATAAATTGGAAGTTTAATATTTGATACAAATAAATTTAAAAATTAATTTAATTTATTAGAGAATTTAATTATATAAACTAAAATCAGAAATATAATTAATATAATTTTTACTTGGTCAAAAAATTAAGGATTAAATTTTATCCTATTTGAATTCATTTTAATAATGATTAGATAAGTTTATATAAAAGAAGAATTTTAAAGTATTATTATATTTTATAGTAAAAACCCTAACTATGATGATTACATCATATATTGAATTAATTTATAATTTAATCCTAAAGAAAGCAGAACTAAGATTTACCTTTTAATTTTAATTTAGGTAATTTCTTATTATTTGGCTTTATAAAATAAGAGAATGATCTTAAATAAGTATTATTTACACTCGAATAAATCCTTAAATTAGATTTATATGAAAAGATTATTGAAATTAAACTAATCATATAGTAGAAATGATTTAAATAAATGATAAGAATTACATGATTTTTAGACCAAATGCTTAAATATTAATCCATTTAATGTTATTTTTTAGAGTTTGTGTGTAGTATTTTATTTAATATCTTCAACGATTGTAAGGTTGATTCAGAAATTTATATATACTTAAATAAGAAAATTTTGGAGGTGAATATTTAGCTTTATGTCAATTAATAAAATTTATTATTATATGGATAATATTTAAGAAGCAATTTAATTATAAATATTATTATTGGTGACATAGATGAACTATATTTAATAAAGGATAATCTAAAATTAATAAACAGATACTCCAATATTTTTGTATTCAAAATATTCGAATGTATTCCCCTAACGAAACTTTGGTTATCAAATATTAAAAAGGAAGAAATTGAA